TGTACGAAGGGGGGAGGCAGTGGTGTCGCGCCGCCGCAGACATGACTCTTGGCGGTCTTTTTCACGATGACCTGCGGACGGTTAGTCGCGGCCTGCCCGACACAGCCTGGGGGCTTCAAGGTGTGGTACCTCCACGGCTCTGGCACCCTGCTCCGACTCTGTCTCCCCCGTCCGGGGGAGAGGAGGGAGGGGAGAACCGAACGGTGAACCTTGGAGGGAGGCGGGGCAGGAGTTGCTTCGGACTCCTGCCCAGCACTCTGCCCCAGGGACACGAGGCCCCGTCCGCGGGCTCGTAAGCCTGGACGGGCCAATCGTCCTCCTCGGCCACAGCAGCAAGAGTGTCCGCTCTCCGCTTCCTGTCGCCCGAGGGGAGACGAGCGCAGTGCATGCTACCTGCTGGTTTAGAGCCGCGTACGCGTGCTCTGACCCCCGGCAGGATTCGCATACTGCTTTTATCTTTGCAGGTCATAACTCATTATGAACCCAGACCCACATGAGGGACAATCACGGACGCAGTTGTTGCTCATGATGATTCTCAATTGCTGTGCTTCAGTAACTGTGCTGGTTTGCTGAAAAAAAGAGGGAGCAGATTGCCGGGCCTCCTTCCTATTTATACCGGAAGGAGGCCCGAGGGTGGGGCCCACCTTGCGGGTGGGCGTGGACTACAAGTGTTTCAGTGCTGCGCGGGGAAGCAGGGGGATTACCCAATAGCGATAGCCTTAGAGGGCGAAGCCATATACGAAATAGAACTAGTAACTTGTGGAATTGCCCTTTTTGTATATTTTGAAAGATCAAATCTGAGCATTAGCTTTTCTTTGTTGCATTACCTGTGCTTGAAACACACAGGCTTTAAATAAATAGTCAATAACATATTGAAAATGTTATGCTCTAAATGCTTCCAGAAACACAAACATTCTCAAAAGGAAGTCCAAAAAAAAAAGACATTATACAGTAAAAGCTTTTACACTGATTTTCCAAAATAAGAGAAACAGACTTGTTTGTAACTAAAAAAGTGCATTTACCGGTTGTTGCTGAGATTATGGAGCTCTCAGAGCTGTTACACCTGTCATTCAGGGCCACAACACCACACGTATATGTCTGAGCGCATTCCAGATCAGGGAAGACGCAGATATCCCCAGCTGTAGCGCAATAAGAGAAACCTCCCGCTCCGTTTAATGTGGCGCTGTAGGAATCTGCGCCGGCAGCTGTATCCCAGGACACCTGCAGCATGTTAGTGGAGCACTCCACTACGCCTTGGACGTTCACAGGTACACAAGGAACTGAGAGAAAAAAGATGTTGGTAGTAAAAATGAGTAAAGAGAACATTTTACCATCAAGAGATCATGACCTTTAGTTTGCTGCATTTACAAAAGGCACACTGCTTACCAGAGTTAACTGTTTCTGGGACGCTGCTTTGTCCTTCACACGTGCTGCTGATGGCTCTGACAGTCACATTGTACTGCTGCCCACACTGTAAATCCATCCAGCAGTTTGAACCCTCTGTTATGCAGTGAAGAGCAGTTCCGTCTCCGGCCAGGGCGGTGGCGCTGTAGTTTAACGCCATGCCTGCCGGAGCCCAGCTGATGGTCAGTTTGTTGGTGCTACAGTCCAGGGTGTTGAGCACGCTCTCCACAGCACATGGGGCTGATAGGGGGCAAGAAGTGAGACTTAGTGGCAGTTTGATCACACACACACTTAAGAAAATAATTAATAATTTGTAGAAGAGCTCCACCGCACACATCTTATTGCCTTAGTAACACACTCATTGTCAGACATAATGCTCATAGTAAGTAATAAAACAAGACTAACGTTTCCAGGTTAGTCAAGTGAGAATATTTAGTATTGGTTCTTGTCTTATCTTTGGTTCAGATACAATAATATTTGCTTGACCTTTAAAAAAAAGTAGTTGGCACACCATTAAAGCAAAGCCCATTTAGGGTTTGTTCTGGAGCTTTACGTTGGGACTTCCTCAAACTTGGTACTTCACTGAGAGGTGGTGCCTTGACTCCTGCGCTAGTGTTGTGTGCCAATCTAAATCTTATACTAGAAAATATGTACAACTATATATAACCTATATGCTGTAGTATGTTCTGCGTTTTTGGTTTGAGACCAACATACAAATAATCATAAAAAACATGAATAGCCAATTCTATCCCTTCCTTCTTGACATGCATCAAATAAAGTGAAATTATATTGTATGGCTGTATTCTACTGAATGTGCACTTAGACCTAGGGCTGAGACGGTCACAGAGCAAAGCATACGCAGATACACCCTGTAAATATATAATATGGGAAGGAAGAGGGTGTTTTTTAGGACTCATCCAGAAAGAAAGGAAGATGGAGGTGCACTGTTACGCCTAGAGAAAATGACTTGTTAGAAAGAGCTTGGAAAGGTTATAAGAAAAATAATCTGACTAAAACTCCATCTCACCGGTTGTTTTGTTGACCGGCTTGCTGTCAGGACTTTGACACTCGCCGTCTGAGGCAGACACTGTGAAGGTGTACTCCATGCCACAATCTAGACCATCCATTTGGCAACCAAGCTCCATTCCTGCGTCGCAGTTCACAACGTATCCGTCTGCGCTCACTGCCTTGCCAGTGTAGGACACTGCATTGGGGCTGCTGCTCCAGGTTAAGATGGCAGAGTTATTGGCACAGTTCACAGAGATGTTGAGCTGAGCGGGAGGGCAGGGCACTGAGCAAGGGGCAAAAACACATGGAAGAGTATGACATGGACTGTAAAAAGGATAAACACATCTTAGAAATGGATTCCTGCTCATCTATACCTGTCCGTAGTATCACAGCAGAGCTCTTATTGCTGGTGCAGGTGTCGTCCGTGGCGGTCACCCCTACACTGTAAACCTGGCTGCACACGAGGCCCTCCAACGTGCATGAAGTCTGATTGGACGAGCACAGCAAGGGTTGACCGGCTTCATCCACCGCAGCTGCCTCGTAGTGCAGGGCGCCACGGCTTTCGTTCCATTTTACTTTTGCAGAAATCTTCCCACAGGTTCTTGTCACCATCACATCCGTGGGCACACAAGGTGCTGAGGGAGAACAAATTCACATTAGCTCACATTTTAAGGAAATTGTTGAAATTAGAGTCCAAGAAAGCTGCTCACATTCCAGAAGCCATATACTGTATTCATACTAAGTCTTAACTTAACTTGCATGCTTTACACATTTTTATGGTTGATTAAAGACATATTATGTATGTCAAAAGGTGAAACAACTCTTACTTTCCCTCTTGGACAACACTGTGGGTCGGCTAACGCAGGTGCTGTTGAAGGATGTTACTTTCAGTTTATGATCGAGTCCACACTCCAGTGTGCTGAGCATCAGCCCGGGCTCCGTGTTGATGTAGGTCTCTGTCTCATTGTTGTTTGAAACCACCGTTGTGTAGCCTTCTGCATTACTTGTTGCATCCCAGCTGAGGGTCAGTACCTGTGACCTGCAGTCTAAATCGGCAGTCACATTGGGCCCACAAGGAACTAGACAGATAAAAGATAGAAATGTTAAGTACGCTCCTCAAATGTTTTCTACATGCCGGTTGATAAAGACACTGTGTCCAGGCAAAGGGTAAAGGAGAGACTTCAAAATGTAGAGGCTAATGTATAGGCAGTTATGATCTGGCCAATCTGTGCTGCAATGCACATTACACACCAGAAAACAAATGTAAGATGGATGAAAGGATTGGCCGGATGGTGGCACCAGAGACATGTTTGTAAAAGGTTTATCCTTTGTACAGCGCCCGTTCTCAGGACTCCTCTTGTCAGGCTCATCTCTACACTGCCTGATATAACTTCATCAATATAAGAAATAAGCCTCTACCACTCAACTGATTTTTTTTCGGCAACTAGGAGTCAGCACTACATGCTGTATCTGACCTATTATCATCTTAAATAAAGTTTTACAAATTAAGAAAATACATGTTTTCTCTCTTACAAATTGCGAAATTGTTGTGATGAGAAATCAAATTAACCAACCAGTGGGGAAATGTACCTACAGTAAAAGCATTTATTAAAGAACTGCAATTAAGTACATAATCTGAGGTATTTCTTTCTCGTTTCATACCACTATATGAAATAAATGATAACATAAAATATGATGTTTTAACATATAAATCCCATGTTTTAGAGCTGAACGTGTTTATACCAGACTCCATGTGGATGGCCTCAGAGGGCATGCTGGGGCACATGCCATCGTGTTGGCTGACCGTGACAGTGTAGAGCTGGCCACATTTCAGGTTGGGTATTCTGCAGCTGGTATTAGTGTTGCTGCAGCTGAGGAGCCCTTGGTTTTCATCCAAGATGGTGGCGGTGTAGGACATAATATTGGGCCGACCGCGCCACGAAATCAGAGCCTCGTTGGCTGCACAGTCCAGAGAGGCAGTAATATGGTCCGATGGGCAAGGAGCTGGAATGAAGTAAAGGTGAAGAAACAAGACATTATTTGGCTACTTTGAAATTAAACACTGATAGAAAATAAAACATCAGCCTCACAGTACCTGTCTCTATGGGGATCATCTCGCTCACAGAGCTGTTGCAAAAGAAGTTGGAGGAGATGACGTACACTGTGTAGCTGGTGCTGCACTTCATCCCCTTGATATTACACATCAATTCCATGGCGTTGCAGCTGTGAATGACGCCATAGTTGTCCATCGCCATGGCGACGTAGAAGAGCGCACTGCCGGACATTGACCAGGTTACCGTGATGGAGTCGGCTCCACATTCCTTCACGGCTGTGACATTCTGAGGAATGCATGGGACTGGAGGAGAGGGGACAAATTAACATGCAAATAAATTCCACCTTTAACACTTTGCACAGTTTCAGGTGATCAGAGACAAGGTTGCCAATTCATCCCAAATCACAATCATACGGAAGTGAAGCCTTACACATTCCTTTATCCTTAAAAAGTTATACCTCTTGTACTAAAGCTTATTTTTATTATTAATGTATCTGCTAATCATATTCTATATTTAACATGCACCACTCTACTCACCTGTCTCAGCCACAGGCGCCAGCGTCTTTGGACTGGCACATTCGTCGTCAAAAGCTTTGATGAAGATGGTCAAGTACTCTCCACACTTGATGCCCTGTATAGCGCAGCTGTTGGAATGTGAGGTGCAGTTGTAGTAGTTGTCTTTTTCCCTGTTGCCAAAAGCCTCCACAGTGTAACGTAAAGCCCCCTCGGCGAGGTCCCACTTGCTGAGCAGAACATCTGAGTTGCAGTCGGCTGAGGTTTGTATATTCTGGGGAATACAAGGTGCTGGAAACGGGCAAATGTTATTTTACTTGATTTTCAGTTTTTATTTGGAATTGAAAAAAGGATACTTACAAAAAAATGCAACCTAAGGAATGTTAAATATATAGTGTTGTTTTGAAATAGGACTGCATCTGAAATGTTTTTTAAGAGAACCCACCAGGGGGTGCTGACATGACAATGGAAAACTGTCCCAGAGCTCGGTTAAGCTATTCAACAAAGTTTGAAATTGAGTTGTACAAAAGTTCAGCAACTTCAAATTCTGGAAATGAAATTGCTATAGACTCATTCACAATTAAAACAATGTTTTTCTGTCTGGTTTTTGTTTTTATTTGCCTTTTTGTGGCTGATGGGGATATAATCATAGTGGGTACTAGTAAGTAGATTTACTCAAGTACTATACTTAAGTACAATTTTGAACTACTCGTACTTTACTTGAGTTTTTCCAGTTTGAGCTATTTTGTACTTCCACTCCTCTATTCAGAGGTTAATCGTGTGCTTTTACTCCACTACATTTTATTTAATACCTTTAGTTACTTCGCAGATTTGGATTAATGATATGAAATATAATCAACACTTAAATCAGACTTTAGTTACACCTGGAGTAAATTCACAAGCTACCCTGCAGTATACCAAGTATACACATTTACCAGCTTTGATAAACACATTAATGCATCAATAATTATAATCAAAACATATAGTATTCTGAAATGGACCAATCTGCATACTACGTACTTTAAGTATATTTTGAAGCAAATACTTTTGTACTTTTACTTGAGTCATATTTTCAATGTAGGACTTGTACTTGTAACAGAGTATTCCTACACTCGTGTACTACTTTTACTCAAGTATAAGATCTGAGTACTTCTCCCACCTCTGGATACTATATAAAATAACTAAAAAGAAAATGGACAAATGTACATGTGATGTTTTGTTGTAAACATGATATGTGTATGTGTGACAATGTTTTCATACCTGTGCGAACGTCAACTGTAGAACTAATCTCGCTGTTGCAATGCTCTCCGACGGAGTACACTGTGAAGTGATACTGTCGCCCACACACTGTTTGTGTGAAATAACATGTGTTGTATTCAGTCAAACACTCCTGGACCAATCCCTATAGAGAGATTACAAATAACTTTGACCACTAAATTACACATATCGTTGAAAAATTGGTGACATATATGAACAGTAGGCTATGTGCCTTATTGCTAACAGTTGATGAGCACATGTATACCATTCTCCCCATTGTTTTGATACAAATAAAGCTCAAGCTAGCAGCCATTTAGCTTGGTTTAAGGGAAGACAGTTAGTCTTGGTCCAAAGGTTGATCATACATTGTTTAAGACTAAAGGAAGTCACATTTCCAGCTAGAAAACAGTGAGGCACGCCTAAAAGACATAACTTGTTATTTACATGGCAGTTCTTGGACAGATTAAAGTCAACAAACTATACAAAAAAGTCACTTAGTGAGCTTCATAGGTGCCATAAAGGTGAATGCTTAACTTTTAGACAGCGCTATGCTAGCTATAGCCAACTGTATCTAGTCTTTATACTAAACCTAGCTAACTGTCTGTTGCCCGTAGCTTTATAACATATAAAACACAAAAGTGATATTGATAGTGATCATCTCAGTGAGAGACCAAATAGGCAACATGTCAAACCTTTTCTTTATTTAATTCAAAGGAATGCTCTTACATTATTTAATCATTGTGTATTCAAACATTGTATCTGCAAACAGGTTTAGTCCAAAATACAGTACCTCGGAGTCCACTGACTTGGCCCTGTAGTGTTCTGTATTGTTTGTGTGATCCCAGGAAAAGGCGATGCCCGTGCTGGAACAATCTCGTTCCAGCTGCAGGTTCTTGGGAGGACAGGGAGCTTAAAGGAAATTGATATCAGTTATTTACTGTGAAATCAAATTTTTCTAAATTATCCCAGATAGAAACATCGAGAAATAGACCAATAGATAGATTGATCGATAGAAAGACTGATAGATTGAAAGATTGATAGATTGGTATCATTAGATTAACTATTATAACATTTAAAAAGGCAAGAGAGGTTAAAAGAAAAATTAAATGGGGTTTAAATATCATCATCAAAGGTGAGCTTCTCAAATCCCTTTTCAGGTTATAACGCCCTGATACTGAAGATAACACAGCAGTGTTGCTTTTCACTGTAAGAGGTTTCAGGTTTAGCACAAACACAGGCTCTTTCTTAGGAGCCTGAACACAACACAATATGATATAGACAGTGGAGTTCAATGGGAGACCCAGTTTTCAAGGAGACACGGTGATGTATTCAAATAAACGTGTGAATTTAGACACTACAAAACTGGAAAGGGGTGGAAAGTTGTAAACAGCTATTCCCTAATGACCCCCGTCCTGATTGATATGACCGTAGTCAGAATTAATAGATGGAAAGTTCATCTTTGTTAAAATGTAAGAACATTCATATAGAAGCAGCTGATGTGTAACATATCCTGACCTGACAAAATATGTATTACTTTCTTAAAATACCTAACTTTTTAATGAAATTATTAAATCAGTGGTAAGGTTGGTGTCATTTTAATGTCAAAATTCAAATGTAGATCTTTGCACAAATCAAAAATAATGTTAAAACTAGTGGCATTAACAGATCAGTAAGTCGGCCAAATAATGTTCTTTGGGGTTTAGTGTGCGCTCACAAGGTGAATATTTATTTCTTATAATATTTCTTATTGAGAAAACTGCTGGGATATCCACTATTGTTTATTCAAGTTGATCATTTATGTAAGTACACCATTTTTTGTTGTTGAACTCAACTAAACAGAAATATAATCTTGTGTCTCATTTGTTATTGTATTTGATAAAATGCTCTCTATATATTGATAGAGGTCATTGAAAAACCCCTATTGGTGGAACACTACTAAAAAAAAGTCTTCATCGAGGCCTATGATAGCCCAACAAAAGCAGTATAGTAAGAATGACTCAATTCTAAATCGAAATAGCTTGTGCCTTTGGGCCAAAAAGGTCTAAGGTCACCGGATTGTGTTATTTATTAAGTATTAAACGGCCGTATACTTGAACAATTAAATCATATTAGGCATCATCCAAGTCACGACAGCTTGGCGGTGCACAATGTGGTCTCAGGGGTGGGGTTGGACAGAAAATCTCAACTGAGCACTCTAACATAATAGAGTGATATGTGAGATGAAGGGATCAACTATCTGCAACAAAATAGATAGCAGGGTGGAGCGGTAAAAATGTTCGTCATCCAATAATTGAATAGACGCAGAGCCATTCAGTCAGTAGAGTGGCATTTTATGGTTGGTTGACTGGTTGGTTGGATGACTTCATTTATGGGAAATGATAACTTAAATTAATGCTGAGTTTCTAGGTTGTTTTTGTTGACCTTTTGGTATTTTCTCACTATTATTTATATGTTTTCATACCTATTTTGTTGTTATTGTAAGACATGCTGTTCATTTCAATTGTATTTAAAATGTAAATGTACATAAATGTGCTATTTGGGAAACAGAAATAAACAAATTTGTTTGAAAAAAAGTAATGATTCAAGGGTAATGTAGATCGTCCTATTAACTGAGATTTAAACTTTGTATAGTGGTCAGCCTTGTAGTGTGAAAGCTTCCTATTTAAAGTGGCACTCCGCTGATTCAACACATGGACTTAATTTGACATGTAATGAGGAGTGTGACTCAGCCTATAAAAAAGTAATGTGAGGTGAGATTTACAACAGCTAAACAGTTAATGCTGAGTCATTGGAGGAAAAAACAATGGCGCCCATTTTGAAGGAATGGCCGCAAATATACCTCTGAATGATGGATGGTTTTGAGATTGCCATGCTATCTCTATTGATCATCTTATCAAAAGGACCTTGAAGAAAATATGCCAGAATGCGTGTCCTATTATATGTATGTCTGTGTATGTCAGTTAGGTTGCCTAATAAGTTAATTGATCATTGCTTTTTTCTTTGTGATTGATGGGTCTCACCTGTCTGAAAATTGGTCGAGGTGGCGTTCATCTTGTTCTTGCAGTTCTCTGACATAGGAGTAACGTGCACGTCGTAGCTCTGGCCACAGCTCATTCCGGTGATCTGGCAGCTGGTGCTCACACTGGTGCACGTCAGCTCCGTGCTGTTTTCACAAATCGCAGAGGCCTTGTAGGAGTCGGCCCCAAACACGGCCGACCATTGCACCGTGGCAGATTGGGGCGAGCAGGCGTATTCTACGGAAACTTCTGAAACTGGTCTCAGCTCTGTAAGTAACACAGGACATTAGTTTGTTTCTTCTATGTTGCATGAAAAAAAAACTGGAAAAAAGAAGGCTGAACTAGTAAAGTGATTTTTTACATCAGAAAGGAGCTGTTAGATCTATTGTTAGGAAGCAAAACCAGACATAATTCCTTCTAGTATCTATTTTATGTTTATGTAACTGCTTTTATACAATTTTCTGACCAAAACAAAGGTTTCCATGTAAAAGTTTACATGTTAACACCTTGTGATAAAATGGTAAATTGGTTTCTCAGACCACAGAACTTGTTAACTGAAAAAACTTTAAAGCATCATAATGTAACTGTCTGAAACATCTTTTAAGCTCTCCTCCTGCCGTTTCTAACATGGACTTGTTGTTTCCAATGTAGCTTTATCACTATAGAACTTTAAATAGTGGGGACTATTTGAGTTTCCTATCATTCAAGGCCTATTTTCTACACCAATCCGGACTGGAGTGTGGTTTTAATACACAAATGTATCTGATACGTGGAAATGTTAAATATATATTTATGAAGATGTACTGTATATTTAATATTCGTTAAATAATAGGTTCTCAGGGTATCTGAACCCTTTTTCCCCTGAGGATCATATTCTGCATGTCTGAAAGGAACACCTCTGAAAGAAAAGCTGACCTAGATCATAATCAACAAGTTATTGAAAGTGTCTTGGCTCTGTCGACTCACTGTTGGTGGAGAATGTGTGTTCTGTGGACTCGCTCGGCACCAAAAACTTGTTGAATGAGGACACTGATATCAGATAGGTGGAGCATGGGAGGATGCCTTGAACATCCAGCTTAGTGTCTGAGACGTTGTACGAGGCGGGTCGGATGTTGGGTTCATCAATTTCCTGGACGGTGCAATGGTATATCAGAACGTCCTTCACCGGCTGCCACGTGACCCTGGCTGTTCCCAGGCCGGTGGATGTTGCTGTGAGGCCCGTCGGGGGCTGCACCACTACAGAAAGATATAAGCTGTTAGTCTGAAACAGCTCCATTGATTGAAGAGTCACTGTTGATTGTTTTATTCATATTCTGCTATTACTGCCAATTACATATTCAGCCATGTTAAAGGGTATGTTCATGTTAATCAGAAAACATGAAGAAATATTTACTTTCTGTTTAACAAAAAAAACTCCCAAGGTTTTAAAATATTTGAGTCTTAGACTTGCGTTGTTTCCCCAAATACAATTAACTTAAATATAATTATCGTATTGTTTATGCAGATAAGGAATTTAAAGATTACTAAAAATCTCAGATGCAATTGAGCATATTACTTCTACTCACATCCTGCTAGTTTTTACAGAAACAGTTTTTGGAATCATCCAGATGAATTTGATTTCATGGAAAAGTTCTACACATTTGCCATTGATCATTGTACACGGCGTATTGAAACGATATTGTTTGTGGGGTTTAACATTGGTGTTTTCACAAAATACCAGCCATAATGTGGATATAATGAATGAGTGGGTTAAGGCAACATTTAAATTTAAAATTAACGCAAACTGAAGAGGTAAGATAAGAAAAAACACAAAAATAAAACTATAAATAATAAGATAACCAGATTTACTTATTTTCTTTGTCATTATTAGCCAAAACATTAGGGGAACACAAGTCATATTTCGAGTATCCGCGTGTTAACATGTCTTTATATTATCTATTCTACATCCTCCCCCTCTAGGCTCCACATGTACAGAAAGAGATCACTCACAGGTCGTGATGGTCCTCTTTTTGCTTTTGCTCCCCATGCCGGCCTTGTTAGCTGTGAAGACGTAGCAGTCGTAGTTGGTGGAGGGCTTCAGGTTTCGCACCACAGCACTGGTGTCGGTGGAGGTCATGTTGACCACCGGTCCTGTGGCCTGGTACAACAGAAGGTAGTAGCGCGACGCCGAGGGAACCACAGTCCACTCCACCCTGACTGAAGTACTCGACAGTGGCTTGCCAATCTTTATCTGCGCTGTGTCGGGCACTGGGAAGAAAGAGCAATAGAGAAAAAACATCGTTAAGGATGTTAAAAATGTACGTTGTGCGTAATGGCGCCCTTTTGCGCGTAAAGATGAAATATGAATGTACTTATTTTGATACCGCTCATTTTATTCTTTTATTTTACGTTTGGTAAAATTGTATGTCACCGTCAAACAAAAACAACAGTAATTTCAGTATTTCTCACAATTTAAAAGGTAGGGTATGTCAATTTGAGAAACCGGCTCGGGATCGCTAGAATTTAAAAATACACGACCGGAGAAAATCTGCCACTTCCTTATAGAGCCCCTTTCCGACAAACAAGAAGGCGCACATGAGGGCACGAGAAAAGTTTGTGCACAGATGGAAGGCTGACAGGCAGGTAGGCCATCCAGTTATTTTAGCCGGGCCGGCTAAAATGATTGGTCGTACTTTTTACAGTATTACGGCTTCCACAGATGACATTTTTTTAATGGATTTTTTCTCAAAGCACTTAAGATATTCATTGCTATCGGGATGTTAAGAACATTCCATGAATATAACAAACTGTGTATCTCGAGCCGGTTTCTCAAACTTACATACCCTAGCTTTAAGAGGCACTAAAACTATTCTACAAAAAAGTCTTGAATTATTTACCTGTGGACGCCTCATATGTAGAAACACACATCGCAAAGTAGAACACGAAGGGTTTGAGAGTCACTTTATAGTCAGTTCCTGGCAGCAGACCATAGACATCCTTCTCAGTCGAGGTACCTGCCAGGGTCACCACAACTGGTGCATTGCGTGTACTGTTTTTCACCCTTAAATCCAAAAAGTAGTTTGTTGCCTGAGGATACTTTTCCCATTTTACCAGAATTGATGAGGGACCTGTGGCCACTGCTGACAAGATTTTGCATTCTGAAAGAGATGGAAATACATGACACTGAAGGGATGAGCTTGGATACAGACAACAAAAACACATCACAAATACACACAATATCATCAATGTTGCACAAGTATAAATATTAATAATATAATAATTTGCTTTGAATGACAAGCCAACATATTATTTTATATATTACAGATATGATATACGTAAGTTTACTTACCCTGTGCTGCACTATGAGGTATCTGCAAATAACAAACACATTTGAATCAAACTATGTAATACACGTGTTGGTTAAATCCACTTTGTTAAGATGTAAAGATATAAAATGATATACCTGAGTTAGAGATACCAAGGCTAAGGAAAAGCCTATGGCTCCCAACAATCCCATCGTTGACATTGACAGTGGGATTACAATTAGTTTAGTATTCAAGGGGGACAAATACAAAAGGTGTTCTGGATTCTTTTGAGCTTCAGCCCAGCTTGCATGTGAACCAATCGGTGAGCCCCAAATGGGGACAGGCTGTCCCACCAACAGCCCCAGGCAACCTGGTGGGCGGGATGGATGGAAGGATGAGAGTTTGGTGATGTTAAGGTCTCTCTCTCTCTCTGACCTTCTTCCTCTCTTTATATCTCTCAAATCTATGATTTTGTAAAACCTCCATCAAGGCATAAGGTCTCATTACTGATTGTTTGCTTATTGTGTTTTTGTATGCAAACAAGTTATACAGCAACACTAATGTGTTCCTGTGTTGCTTATTCTAAGTATAAAGTCTTAGCTTTTTTCCACAGTCTCAAAATCTATTGTAAAACATCTATAATGACACTTTAAAATATGTTTATCATATACGTTTTTGAACAATGTGTACACCTTTGTTTCACTAATGTTGTGAGGGTCCTTCATCCTGTTTAGAAGGTCGTAAACACAAGGGCTATCATCATTTTTTAAGCCTTTCCTAAATTATGAGAAAATATCATAAAATGATTACAAAAAATGTAGATGGACCATAAATCTTGAAGGTTAAATCGTCACAAAGAAAATTAATAAGAAGATAAATAAATCAAACTGCAGCAACAACAAAGTACCTTAGGAAACACATAAAATGGGGATCCAATTCAAATAGATCTTATCGCAGAAGTCATGACTTTTGTATTCAGAGGCCACAGTTTACTTTCCTGATGGACACAACCCTGCCCGAGAAACATGCTTTCAAACACAGGATCAACCCCCAGCAAGAGATTGGTGTTGTGATGAAAACTGTCAAAACATTGTGTCTCCCTGTGTTTGTATATAGTCTCTATTCACAGGTCCACATATAGATTGATTTTTTCCATCCTTCCCCCAAATGCATTCAAGTTACTGTAAGTATCACAAATCTGTAGGCATGCTGTGACTTCATATGCTATGTTTCTGTGTTAACTGCTTTTTTCATCCTTGTAACAATACATGGGAACACTGTGAATGACCTAAAGCAGAGAGATAAAGGCTTGGGAGGGGCCGCCCTGGCAAAAGAGACAAGTGCCACTGAAACCGAAGTCAAGAATGTAAACTTGGGATTTGGGACTCCATCTCAATGGGATGTACTTACAAAACACATCATGTTTGGTGCTGTTACTAAGTCACGTTTTTTACTTTTGGAGGTTTGGTAAGGATTCTAAAAGAAAAGTAAAGAATTTCCTCCTATAGAGTAATCCCTTAGCTAGCTTCATGTAGGGTAAATGCTGGGCTGAAAAGGATCTTTTATCATGGGAGAATAAAGGGCTATCACCGCATAGTCCCTCATCGTGTTTTAGAGAAAAAGGAAGTCAACAAGAAAGTGGATACGTGCCATTAAAATGCCGGGGAACTTAAGCTGCCCCAGTTAAACAATAGAGCAATTTTAAAGCCAGTAAAAAAAGGACAAATGATGTGAACACCTTGATATTTCATTGTATTTTTATATGGCTGTATATTGTCCAGAGGTAGACACTGTTATAGGTCACAGGTTTTAAGCATATCATGATGCAACTTGTTCCTAAGAATGATATAAATACAGCGTAAAAGGTTTTCAATATTACAATTCAGATAGCCATAGGCCAGGTGATCAATCTGTATGACATTGAATATATGAAGGTTCTGTTGAGGGTGAAAAAGAGACGTTTTTGTCCACCATTGCAATTGGTTATGATGACGTTATGATGACCAACTGAAATCGAGTCATTTAAATGCTGTTAAAACAATGTGTTACCTAGACATAAGTATGGGTATATAAACAAATGTAGCTAGCTTTTAATCTATATTTAAAAAATGATTGCCAACCCCAAACCAAAAGCGTTGAGAGTTTAGTTGCTGTATAAATCAATACTATTTACATATGGTTTGATTTCATTTGTTACAAATGACTTTTTTTTAGCAGCTCTGGTCCAATTGAAGCAAATTGTTCAGTTATCTTTTTGAAGTGTTATCTCTCCATGTCGTAGCATAATGGTCATGCATTAGTGTTTTAGGACTTATACCTAAAACACAAATGCACTTTCATAACAATTGTGTTTTAGGACTTATACCTAAAACACAAATGCACTTTCATAACATCTTCTTTCATAAATATTACAGCATGCTTTATACATTTTTGACAGAGATAATTATTTTACATCACAATGTAATGAGTGTTTATTTTCTCGAGAAAAACTGAGCTACAATGTAGTTTCTGAGCGTGTCAAAGCTGGACTATCAAACTAGCCAATCAGCTGTCCCTTTTGAGGTTGTTATTAAGTGATTAGAATGGTATGTGTCTCGAGATACGCCTGTTTCATAATTTTGGCAACCTACATCTCTTAAAGGGGCAGACATTTTCATTAGGAGACTTATATTTCAAAACCAGATTTTAAATATAGGAGTTTGGTCCGTTTATGTCTTAAACATTGAAAATGAAATGTACTCATTTTCAAGACACTTCACAATGAAATATCAGCAGTCATGGCAAGAAACCTTAAATGTCTTTCTTTTTTTTTTTTTTTTTTAGATTGAGTGGGGTGTTACGTAGACTGCAAAAATACCTTCCGATTTGTGTATCTCAAAGAAATGCCATACTTTGGCTGAGTCATGTTCGAGCTCTGAATGGCAACTATTCCCCTATGAGAGCCAACACAGTATCAATATTTATAACCTACATTGTTCGAGCTGCACTGGGGATAATACAAGACTCTTTCCTTTTGTGTTTTCGGGGACTTAACCAACTGAAACCTGTGTAGTGAAAAGGAGACCAAGCGATACATGTTTCTCGGAAGGCTGCCCTGTGAAGCGGGTGCCTGGGTGTGTTTTTAAAAGACACTTAGACATTCAGCCATATTTTCACTGTGAGGAATGACTTCTCTCTTCTGACCGATAGAAAGGCATCATTAACTCTGGAGTTGCAAAGGTCCCCTATTATACTGTTTTTCATCAATATAATATAGGTCTCATACAGTATATACAAAACGTGTCTCTGAAGTGTTTGACTCCAAATACCAAACAGATCATTGTAGCATCCCATAAACCTCTGTTTCAGCCCTGTTTCAAAAGTGCTGATTCTCTGTCTGTTACTTTAGATGACAATAAGGAGCCACTCCCCACGGCCCTTTGAGAGATATTTGGTTAAGAACACAATGGTGCTCTAGGAGGAGATTCAGGTGATAAGGTGGGGGGGG